TATTTGGGAAAAGTAGGAAAGAAAGACTGAGGGAGACCAAAAAGGGCATTAGAAAAACAAAACAAACAAAAAAAACCCACCAGACCCTGAGAAAACATGGTCCCACTAGGTTTCATATTACGGTCACATTTTTTATTTTTATCAGCCATTACAATTTTTCAAGAGAATGGTTGCTTCATTGAATATGGATTCATGTAAATTTCTGGCACTGACTATGCGTTACCTCTTCTAGAACATACAAGTTTGATTATTTTTTTTTTCAGTACTCACGTTTCGCTGCCATACCAAAAAATTTGCTTGCCTACTCCCTGTGGCAGCATATGCATTTTTCTTTCTGACTAATGTGCAGAATCTGTGCTCTGACTTGCACATAAAAACACAGCCAAAACAACAGAAGAGCACTAGCTGAGCACACACATCTTATTTTTATGATGGCTTTTAATCTTAGTTTGCCAGCAAACACGGGCTTCCTTACCTAGCCATATAAAAATACTTTTATTGTTAATTGCGTCTCTGATTGCTAGCCTGTTGCAAAGAGCAGCTATGAAACCTGACACTAACAGAGTAAAACAATCAGCAATGGTTAATGGCTAAATCACATTAGAAGTGTTCATTAATTAAAATCTGTTGAATCTTTTTGCAGTCCATATTTAATCGCAGGGTCATTAGCATTGCAAAAGTGTATCTCAACAAAATGCAGGAAGTTTTTTAACAGAACATCTCAAAATTTACCTCATCTATCGAAATAATGGCTTTGTTTTACATAAGGCAATATTAGGTACATAAAGAAAAAAGAAACAGTGATTATGTTGTTGGGCCAAATTATATAAAACTGCTATATTATTGTAATTAGGACAACAGTGACTTGGACTATAATGGTGGCTTTCTTGTAAAAATGGCACCATTTCAAATTTATAGTCTCTAGCTAAATGAGTTTGTTGTAGCATTGACAAAGAAACAAATACAAGCCAAATGCAGTCAAAATTAAACACAAACAGAAACCTTAGCTGTTTATTTGCTGGGTGGAACCCAGAACGTTGTTTTTCAAAGGCCATTTACTAAATAAATGCTCTTCCCTGCATTCTGACTGCTTTTACAATGCAAAATTTTTATCTTTAAAATTTTAAGCACATTATGCATGCAAAAAATATTTATGTACATGTAGTTTATAACTGCAGTGTCTGTGGTGGAGTAAAATCCTACTTAAATATAGGTAATCTGAAGCTCTAGACCAAAGCATGAAGAGTTCTGCTGTCTTCTGGAGATTGCCCAAATAACAGCCATGATGGCTGTGAGTTCCTTTTTTCTGTGTCGCTTTTCACCCTCAGGAATCTCTCAGTTCTCCAAATCTTTTGTTCATACTTAGTTGAAAGGGGTTCTGTCACTTATGGGAGTGGGGTAGGTTGCTACTTCTTCTGGACCCTTAGCATCTTGCAGTGGAGCCAGAGCAGCACTGATGTAGCAACATCCTCTGCAGCTGCAGAAAGAACAGTTTCCTCCTTCATAGGCTTCTTATTGCCAGAGTGAACATATCAATGTGGCGTGTTTCACACCTGCAGAAAATTTGATTCAAGGCATAAACCAAAAAAATTCAAATTAAAGGTGATAAAATTTAAACTATGTAAAAGCTTAACTAATTTCAGTAGCGGAAGTGATTTCTCTAATTTCTGTTTCATGATTGCTTACATCTTTCATAAACAATTTTCATCAATAAGATTGTTGGGAGCAAATTACTGAATTTGACAGACCTTCTCAGAACTGTGTATGATGGTTGGAAAATAAGGGCTCGATGACACAGACTGGCAGTGTAAGAAATTGATTTCTAGGAGATGGGAGAGTACTTTATTTTTCTGTTCCCTTCATTAGTTTTATTAGGCGAGATAACAGTCAAGTAAGGGAAAGAAAAAGAAAGGTATGCTGTTTTTCTCCTCCTTTTGTATCTATAAACAATGAATGGGAATACTGGCTACTATATATGTATTTTTAATGTATGTATAAATTTCAGATAAACTTGGGCCCTCAATAAGTGATTAAATTATTTTATATCACAAGAAAAAAAAATCTTGAGAGCTGAGCATCGGGATTAGAAGCAATGTTAGACACTGATTGCCTCTTTTTATTAAGGCGTATTCAACTTTAATGAACACTTGGGATAAATGGATATGCTGATATCAAAGAATCAGCATATCCATTTAAGATTTGAAATCTTGAAATAAATATCTATAAAAGTCTTCAAAAATTCTCAAGTGAAATAAGAAAAGAATAGACATTATGTATCAAATCTTTCTAAACAAGCAGTGTAATTATTTCTGAAGTCCTTTGAAATGAGACCCAGCTAGGCGAATCAAACACAACCTCGAAGAAGTCAACACTTTCATTTCTTTATTTTCCTTTGTGTATAAAGTGTATAACGGAAACAAAATGGAACAGCCTAGATAAAATACTCTTACAAAGATTTTCACTGCTCTGTGATGAGCCTTATCTTATTCCAGCCCTGTCCCACTGTATGATGTTCTGCATAAACCTCTTCTGCCTCAGAAGGTTACAAAACGACAGTTTTATGATAGCAGCCTCTCCCACAGAAACCTAGTACCTCACCTGCTATTTCAGTTTGAATTCAGTTGAAGAAAGCGCTGACCTCTACGTTCATATTTGTTTTCACACACAGGACAGTAGCTGTGAACTGCTGGGAATGTCCTGCTGGGATGGTGGGGCTATGGCCTGAATTCAGTGGGAGGGGTGGTACAGCTTGGCTTTCTGTAGGAACAACAAATAGAGAACTTGTAACTGGTGTGTGAGTTACAGCAAACAAGCCAACAAAACTTAGGAGTGCGAGACAATTCTAATAGCCACATCTTTTCAGCTTTGTAACTACTGTGAGCAAGCCACAAAAGATCCTTTGTTCTATTCCTGCAACATCCAAACTCAAACTTCCTGCATACTTCCTTGTCATTGTTCCCTATTTCACTTATTTTCTGTAGCATATGCCAAGGCCTCTGAGTGTGCTCCATGATTGCTTCCTTCGTTTTCGTGGTTTTTTTCTCCTGTATAAGAAGGAGGTCATTCAGGATATCATCGATAGGCTGAGGCTGCTGTACTTGCCACACGGCTGAGAACCACATTTGTGTCATCTATCCCCTTTATCGTTTTCTCTCAAAGCTGCCAGGCATTGTCTGTTAGCATCTGGGTATACAGTAAAATTTGTAATTGGTCAGACAACAAATTTTTGATGTTAATTCCTTTCAAGCCAACCATCATCGAGTTGAGTATAAAGTCTATTTCTCATACCTAGTGGCACGTTAAAGATTGTCATACTAAATGTTAGGTATAAGATCACTTTTCAACATCAAAACCAGTTAAACTTTGAAGCATAAACAGTTTACATGTTCTATAAGAACAGGTTTAGCAAGCATCTGTCAAAGATAGATGCAACATAATATTCGTCAGCATTGCATTCCACGTGGATTCTTCTGGACTCTGCTGAGCAGCAGGAGAGGCTGGTGGGGTACTTTCCTGCCAGATGAGAGCATGGCAGAACTTTCATGACAGCCAGCTGATCTGCTTCCCTTTGTTGATATTCTCTCTCTGTAAGAATGGATAAATATACACCAGTAGCCAAAATAAATGATCAGTACAAGTCATAGTATTTTTTTCTCTCTTGAGATGTATTTCTGCAACCCATGTTTCCTTCTCAAGGAATTATCTCATTATTCCCAGCAGCAAATCCTTCACAACTTCAAGCACCGCAGAACTTCCACACCATGAACAAGGTGTTATCCAGCCCTCTAGACACTCCCAAATCCTACCAGCCCCATATCTTGCCCTGATGCTCAAAGTGGCCAGGTGGGAAAACCTGAAATGGAAGCTACTGGGCGATGTGTGAATTATTTCTAAATATGCAAATATTGCTCTAAATAATATTCCTCTAAATTATTTGCATATATTGTAATGCACAGAACTGCCCAAAGCTGTGACAGGGATGTACCATACAGAGAAAGAAAAAAAGAGAGCGCAATGCAAGGACATACCAAAGGGATCTCCTCCCCCTTTAGAGGAGACTATTTTTATTGGCATATGCACAAAGGGGGTATTTTGGTGGGTGCTATAATTCTTTTCGTTTCTGAACGTAAGAAACATAATTCATCCCTTAACCTCTTTCCTACTCTTGCTTTCTTCCCCTCTGTAGATATTGTCTTTATTGTTAGCCTAATTGACATCATCGTTATATTTTTAAGTCATCCAAAAAAAGCTCTCTGCAGCAAGCTTAATGTAACCTACTGAATTTCATTTGATTTTGCCTCTTACAGAAATGGAAAGTACTGTGTTGCCTAAGAAATAAAAAGGGCAATTGCCTTAATTTTTTCTTCTATTTTTTTGGACAGAGTATGGAATTTATAACTCTGTCTAGACAATGGCCCCCTCAGTGGCAGAGACTCATTTCAGAGACAATAGATGTTGTCCTGACTCTGTCCCTGTGGCCACATCAAACTGTTATTATGGCTGCAAGCCAAGAGAAGAAAAAAGAACCCTTTTTATTATTGCTTTTCTATCCAGTCTCTGTAGCTTGGCAAGGTTCTTTCAAATGTGATTTCCCAAATCTTAAATGCAACATATTATATTGTATTATTAACCTTGTATTTCGTATCTCTTTGATATGATTCCTTTGCAAATGCTTGAAGTCTACACAGATCTATCAGGTAGCTTTAAATGCATTCTACAAAGAAACCTTAAATAATACAGCTACTGAAGAGTTTTTTTCTGAACCCAGAAATTCAGTCTGCTGGCATATATCATCTTGAAGGAAGGTGTTTTGTTTGTGTTCCTCAAGTAATATTTTAAGTTGTTACTAATGTTTTTTCTTTTTTTATTGTTTTCATACACATCAAGTTTCTTTAAAGTTTCAAAGAAAGTATTTTTTGTTTCAAGTTATTTTTTTTAATAAGTTATGCAAATGTCTATTAAGAGTGTAAACATTAATTTTATATTTTCTTTCTATTTAGGCACCTTTGTTACTAAAGTCACAGCCACAGATGCAGATGATCCAGTTTATGGCAATAGTGCTAAGCTGGTTTATAGCATTCTGGAAGGACAGCCTTACTTTTCTATTGAGCCACATACAGGTAGGTGACTCTGAATATGAATCTCTGGGTGATATTTACACAAGTGACCGTGCCTCTTACCTATTTCTTATGAGGTACTGAAACAGGGAGTGTAAGTAGAAATCTGTCAGTATTACTGAGTCGTAATGTGTCTCACTTGTATTCCATCAGTCTGATCACGTGAAAAGACAAAAGATTGAAAGACTCGGCCTGAGAAATTTAATGAGCCTAATGTAATTTTCAATATGGGACTATAGTATTTCTAGTTAAAATATAGTTTAACTTAGGAATTTTTGTGAATATGTTGTTTCTTTTCTTTACAAATTATTATTCTTTCTTGTTTGAATGGGTCAAGGAAACAAAGAACATGATAGTAAGCATTGGTATGAAATTTTATGAACATGCATTTAGGATGACTTTATTTCTCTGTGGTTTTAAAGTCTTGAAAGCCATCCGAAGGAAGTGCCAATAAATCCATTCCCTCTTGTTTTCTGTGCATATGTCGTACTTACAGCAAATTCATTTAGATATGTCTGAGAAATGTTTTTTAAAGTGATTTAATATTTTTTCTTATATTCTTTCACCTGTTTCTAGAAGCTGTTTTTAATCACTGTGAGTCAAGCAGCTGTGATCTCCTAAAGAGAAGAAAACTATAACTCATTTTAAAACATACAAAAAACCACCTGAATTTATATGACCATAAGGGAGTAAAGCAGGAGTAAAAATTCTTGTCCTCATGCAGATTAACAAAATTATGAAATACACTCTAGGAGAAATTATTAAAGGGTGGTTTTGATAGACCAAGTGTGCTAAGTTTTCTCACCAACATTAAACAGTACTCTTAGACTCTTTAAAGTCTGGAAGTTCTTTAACTCTTTCTGATGAGTTTGCATGGGAAAAATTATTTCTTTTTCCTAGAAATGCCCTAACTTGCAGGGACTTTAGGTAAATAGTATAGGTCAATAAATGTTAACAGATTAATGGATTAATCCATTAAAATGTTTTCTTCCATTTGAAGGACAGCTAGCCTAAATGTGAAAACAATCTCTGGAATGTGATTCAGTGTTGTATTTTATACTGCATGTAAAATAGTTTTGCAAGAACAACTCTAGCACAGCACAATGGAAAAACAGTAGCTTGTTTCAAAAATAAGTGTGTCAAGAGAGTGTTATTAGTGAAGCCCCTTAGTTCATGATTGTTGATTTGTCACAAGTCATGGAGAAATATAACTCTGAACAGACCCCTGACCAGCAAGTACCGAAATATCTGATTTGGTTTTCTTTAATATTGCAAATTAATGCATACAGTAATGGCTTCAGTTAGCTGCCTCAATTGGAGAGGGATTATCTGTAGGCTGGTTCTCAGTTTCTACTAGGGAAAGTTAGTGCTTTAGCATTGCAATACGTCAGTTTTCACAGAGGAACTGAGAAATGTATTCTCCGCCTGCACAGAAGATTTTTAACTTTTTTCACATAAAATAGCCTGAAATAAAATATTCCAAATGTAAAAAAATTGTTTAATTTTACTCAAATTTATTATTTTTATTGCATTAAAGCCTCATGCTTAATCCCGTGAAGTAACTATTCATCACCTAGGAAAGTGATATTGGATAGACCTATCCATTACTTGTTTTAAAATTTGTGGAATTTCTTCTTGTGTGTGAGATATGTCTTCATGCACTTAATTAAATGCACTTAAGAGAAATTTTAACCATACTAAATGTGAAATTGTGTAGAGCCCTCCAGCATACATTTGTTTAGCGTATGTAAATAATAAATATAGAGTAAAGTTTAGTCATTAAGCAAACCAGATGCAGGTAGTCACATAAAAACTGCAGCTGCATATTATACAGGGTGAAAATGATTGCTCTAAAACCCAGAAGACTTTCAGTTGTGGTTCTTCTGAAGAGAAGAGTTGATTTCGAAAACCATAAGGAACTATGCAGCAGATTTTCTTGGTAATACCGGAATTTTGGAGCAAGGATATGATAATGTTTCTTACATTCCATAGAGAGTTTTGTGGGTTGTTACATGCAATAGTGTTATGCTAAGATAGCTACGATTTTGCAGAACCTTTTAGAGGCAGTGGTGCATAAAACACGCACACTAGCTTAGCAGCTATATAATTTGGGCAGTTGTGTTTTACTTTGGACAGGTAGAGTGGAAGGTGCGTTTTAACAAAAAGAAAACATCCAAAGCAGGTAGAAAAGATGTAGATATTTGATGTTTTTTTTTTTTATATTTATTCAACCTTAGTAATGTGAACCATCACAACTAAAATTTGTTTTCTCTTAGTAACTAGGCCAGAAAGACACATTATCTTACACATTTGTATGTAGTTCTTGGGAACTTCAGTGAAAGTTTTTATGTGGGAATATGTTTGGATACTACCGTGACAGTGTACAAATTAAAGCAGAAGAGCCATGTGTCTTATCCAAAACAAATCAAACCTGAAGGTGATCCTCCAAGCGTGGTAGATATTTTAGGATTTGGGGCTTGTTTGGTTGGGCTTTTTTGGAGGGTGGGGCAGAATGTGGATGTGTGTATAGCTACCTTTTCTCTGTGGTAACATTTCATTAGCGCCTCTGCTAAGTTGAAAGCCTTTCCAATTCTTTCGAAACAGAATGGTTTCTGAACACAGATATTGTGCCTAGAATTGTGTCTTTCCCAGAGTGGAATTACTGTTTTAAGAAATGGACTAAATTAAAGTGATCTACTTCAGAATGTAAATATTTTCTGTCATTCATGGGCATGTATCAAATGTTATCAGAAGTATAGCTACTTAGAGCTGATCTATTTACTATTTTTCTAGATGACTGGCCTTTATTAGCTTTGTTTATTAGAAATTAAGATTAGACTTAGATCTGTGCAGCTATCAGCATCAGGGTGGTCCCCAGTAGGCTATACTGCCTATGATTCTTTTAATTTCTGGGCTCAGACTAAAGATTGTTTGACCTTGCTGGTTTGTTTTAACAGCACACTGAGAGCTGACCATCAGGAATAATCCAAATCATGCCTCCTGATTCCTTTCCCTTCTGTAGTACTCTGAACAAAAAGAAGGAGAAAAGGCATAGGATATGGCTTCATGCCTACAGTAGAAAGGGTTGACTACACCTGAGAGTAAATCTGAGAAAAGCACTTGCTTACTCTTCTGCCTTTTTGTTCCTATTAGCTTGACATTAACTAGGTGTAGTCCTTATCTGAATCACCCTCTTGTTTGAAACTCTGACATTGCTCTCAACCTCCTTGCTGAAACAATTCTATAACGCTGGGTGCACAGAAATAAGTACTAGTAAGTGACCCATAAAACAATAATTTTCCATTACCTTAGATGAAAAATGCATATACTTCTGCAGTTCTAGTTTGCAAGTTCTTCTGTATGAATTATAGACACATGAAAGAAGGTAATTCAGAAGTTATTTTTCATTCAGTGCTCTGAATATGGCTTAGGGTAAATGCTTTTTTGATGGCTTGTTCTGAATATTTTTTGCTTTTCATAGGTGAATTTTAATATGACCACTGGTTTATTGGAGAAAGAGTAAATAATACATTACAAAGATACAGGTTCGGGTTTTCTCTGAGAGGCTAAACTTACAATGTGATGACATCAGATAAGTAATGAAAGACATGGGGGACTAAAACACATTCCATAAATCATTATCGTTACATCTGACTGACTGACATTATGTTTCCTGACTAGCGTGTAATTTTTATAAAGGTATACAAGTTGTGTGTGTTCTCTCATAATCCAAATAATGACAATCAAAACGCTGGGGAAGGGGGTTCCTTAAGACTGCTAAAAGTAGCAAAAGTACATTTCTCACTTTTAAGCTTTTTCAAAGATATTAAATCATGACTGTCAGCTTTAAAATAAGATTATCATAATGGAACGTAATATGAAGTTGACACTGTGTTCTACAATATAGGCATGGCAGAGAAAATACATTTGCAGCTGTGTCTCACTTATTTACATTTCACACGAACTTAAATAATGTCACTCCTACGCATACCTGAAATACAGTTACATGAACAAGGTGAATTATGCCAAACGCCCTACTGCACTGGAACACACATTGTATTATTCAAACATAAACTCTTGCTATATAATGAAAAAGAATAGATTTTGAACACTGTCATCTTGGATAGGGTCATTTGGTAGAAAGCCAAAGTTCAAGTTATGAAGTTAAGATGAATAGAAGAGTCAGGAGACTTGGAAAGCTAAAGACTCTCCTAATAGAATGTGGATATTTCTTTGGAGAGTGAATAATTGATTTTTTTTCTACACCTTGCTTTAACTTCCAGGTGAAAGTGCACGTGCTTTAATCAACAGAGCTTTTAACAATTTAGTGTATGGCCCTCTGTGGACCACAGTGTTGAACCTTGTGGTTCTGAAATCAGAACATAAATGAGTAGGCCTAGGAGGAATGAGAACGGCATTCAGCAGAAGTCAGGTTTGAATCTTTTATTTTAATTTGCAGTCCTTATTTTCTTCGTCTAGACGTTGAAATACAGTCCAGCAGAATAAAAACAAGCAAGGTGGCAAGAGGATAAATGATAGCAACTTTTGAGTTACAGACATTTTTGTGATGTTACGGGCTATTTCTTCTGTATGGTTGTTAATATCCAGTTTATTAGTGGTGCATATCAATGACAGCGCAAGCTCCCCTCAGACTATTGCATATACTACTGATAAGACCCATCATCGTAAAAAAGACTTCTGAAATACTGAAGAAAGTTCAAAGCAGGGTAGCTAAGGTGAGAAGAACATTGCTTTTAATGAAATATTGATTGAACTTAATTTGTATAAACTGGATAAGAGGTGATTAAAGAAGGATATGAAATGACTGCACAAATATTTGAGAGGTGTTAATAAAAGACAGATATAGGTACTGTTTCTGTAATTATGATTAAATGACAAGGAAACATTTTCAAACTAGAGAGAGATGGAAAACCGGTTTTGATGCAGGAAGTAATCTGCAACTGAAAGGGGAAAGTAATGAGCTGCTAGGAACAGAACTAACT